GTTGCGTGAGGCGGCAAATTTATCAGAAAAAGCCATCGTTGTGTGAATTCATCGTTGTGTGAGGCACCCGTTGTGCGAGGCACCACTGTACTGCTTTAAAGGTTTGATCTACCAAGAGTTATATACATTTACATCCATGCTTATATACTCCCAACTAAAAATTGATGTGATCAAAAAAAAAATCCTTTTCAGGAGACAGTGCTCTCAGTTAAGCATCTTCAGACATGAGGAACTTTTGATCTTACAATAAGAAAAATTAAAATTTATGATATCTACCTCACTGATGTCTATGTTAGGAGTCTCTACAGATCCACCAATCCTAAATTCCAAAGATTTTGCATTCCGTACTGCTACCTAATAAAACAAAAGAAATTGGACTATTGTTTGTAATTTGCCATGTCTTGCCCTTTAAACAGCTTTCTCATGTGGAAGGTCTGGCTCTACTGTTTCATAAAGTTTCATAATTAAAATATTTATTTTCTATAATGGTGGAGATAATGACATGTAAACGTGATATTAAAATCTGTGACAATTAGAGGAAAAGATCATACAAAACATTGGGGCTAATTGTATACTTGTGCTCCTATACAAATCCTCATATTTTAAAAATTCCACATAGCACATACATGAGGTGATCAAAATTAAAAAATAAAACAAACATCAATCTGTAACTTCTGACAACAGCAAAAATCCCTAAAAGGCAGAATTGTATCAGCACAACAATCCCTTAAAAAGGAATCAAAAGAGGAGCAGTTTCCACTGATTAACCAAACTCCTTCCCCCATACCATCTTTCATGTTGTTCTGGAAGGTCCCACCTTTCTGAAGCAGATCCACAGAAAGAGATAGTACAATTAGCAAAATTCAGTCCTCCACCTCAGCTCTGGCTCCAATTTATCAGTACAGAGCACTTTTCAACATAATTCTGCTCACAAACCTCTAGATGGAATGCCTTGTGTTTCGCTACTTTCTACACTTAAGTATCATAGCAAGTCAAACAGGGCTTTCTGGCCATTTTATCCAGGGTCTAGAATTCCCTAGAATTCTATATTGCTCTGTTTAAAAGGTTTTGTGTGTCCAAGGCCTTTCTGAAAGAAACAGGGGAACTTGCTTGCAAGTGAAATGCTCCTTGCTTATTCTGTTGTTTATTTGCTATTTTTTGTTCTGTTCATATTTGGTTATTTAGCTTTCTTATAAGTTGTTGCAACAGAAACACATGGTATTAATGTTTTTAAATATATTAGCAGGTCATTTCCAAAACTGATTAAAACGTGAGGAATGGGCACTACCATTATTTGCTTGCCCTCCCTCCCTAATTTCCTCTGATATAAAACATCCCATTAAGAAAGCCTGAATAGAGTAACAGGGTTTATGAGGTACCCCTTCTCCCTCTCTAGCTAGTAGATTAGTTGGTTGAAGTCAGTTCATGAAATACAATCTGTTTCTTGCAGCCTCTGGGGACTTGAGAAGGATTTCATCACTTGTGGTCACCCATATCCTTATATTCATTTTTTTTCCAGTCTAGTTTCTACTATGCTCCCTTCCTTCAGCTACCCACTTCCTCTAAGATGCTTTATTTTGAAACCTCCTCCTACTCACTTTTCCAGACCTGTTTTCCCCCTCCGTTTATATGTTTCCCCAGACCCTGCATATTTTGAGATTGTTTTCTAAATAGACTCTCATTATCCTCACAGATGCAGAGATCTTCCAAAACTTCTATACCTGAGTGCTTTACTCATTCAGCAGATGAAACAACAGCAAACATTGATGACATCACAGAAATTCAGTCAGTCACTACCTTGTTTCTATAGATCCATCACAAATAATACTAAAATAGATTACCACAAAATAAAATGAGCATATTAGTATATCTGTCTGTCTGTTCTTCTCAAAGCTAAAATCATATAAACAGCTGTCCAAACTCTAGTACCTCCACTCTGCTATCAAATTTCATTATTCCACTGGGTCTGAAGTAAATTTTTATTTCAGTGCAGCTTCCTACAGGTACTACACCCTGAAGAGGAGTGATTATCATTCCAGGCAGAGGGTTGGCATCAAGGACCTGCCAACAGAAACATAATAAATCCTTAGTTCTAGAGTTGTGTTACAAACTTATATACCCATTATTTTGATGACAGGACATAGTCATAAGCAACTAACTACTTTTCTCATTTATATGCATCTTCAACTATGTCTATGATTTTGATATGCCATCTTTCTCATTTATTACTCAAACTCTTTTTTGTCATTTCCCTTAACTTTTATAAATTCATACATATAATACAAAATTGCCTTTGCCTTCATTCATACAGCATAAAAGTAACTGCCTTTGATTTTGATGTGACCTCTCTCATTTACTGCTTAAATTCTTTATATCAACTGTTCAATACAGATTAAGAAAGCAGCTTACAATAAAATCAAACTAAAATACAATAGCAATAAAATTAGCATAACAAAGACAAGAGGAAAAATACATAGGTTTTTAACACCTATTTAAAGATGGAAAGAAAGACGCCTTGGGAAATTCAATGGAAAGAATTTGACAGGTATGATGCCACCACTGAAAAGGCCTGTTGCTGTTACCTACCGAATATTGATTAAACAAGAGCCAGGAAGCAAGACCTCTGGTGGTTGCCCACAAGTGCCAGAAAGTTTAATCTGCTCAGAAGTGATCTTTAAGATGCCCTAAATGACCTACAATCAGTCTTTCAACAGTCAAGACTATCACATTAAAATAGAGCCAAGAAACAAACTGAGAAATAATGGAATCAATATAATATGTGTTGACCACCTTCTTCCTGCCTCAAGTCTATGGCAATTAGCATAGTAAACTGCATGAGAGCAGGCCAAGATTAATATTTAGTTTGTAGGAAAAAAAATAAAACAAAGCTACCCTGCAAACCAGGATGAGAAATGTCCGGCCATTTTGTAGCAGTATTAGTTTCTAAATTATTATTAAAGTTAATCTTGCAGAAATAACATTCAATAGTCAAATATAGCAGTAACTAATCCATGAGGCCAGGCTTGAATGTCCCAGATAGGACTACAGTTGGCAAGGGAGCTAGGTGTGGTAAATTTATTTATTTGATTTGTATCCCGCCCATCTGGTCAAATAGACCACTCTGAGCGGCTTCCAATAAAAGGAACATATACAATAAATAATAATAATAATATTACAAACAGACTGACATATATGAGAATAAAGGAAATAATAAATAAAGAAGAAAATTAGGTATTGACAGGAGGGAAGGCCTGGACATACAACCATGTTTTTACTTGGCTCTTAAAAGTACCCAGCGTAGGGGCCACCCGAATCGCCGGATATTACTGGGGAACATACAAATGCCCTATTTGTCATATAAATGAACACCCTTTTGAAAAATAAGATCAGTGTGATAAAAAATGAAGTTCCTGTAATAAAACTGGGCAACCAGTATTTATTTTGTCAGCTGCCAGGCTTGCTCCTTCCTGTGACCTGACTTTTGCCAGATTTGCCCACAGTGCTTAACAGCAGGTCCAGTTTTATCAGCCCCATCCCTTATTTTTTGGAACAAGGAACAGCTGTTGGAGATTCTAAGATGTTACTGAGAAAGCTAGGCTCTGAACGTATCCATCTGTGTTAACTGAAGATTCCAGCACAGCTCACTGTAGGAACATACAATCCTGAATAGTACTAGAAATACTTTTTTCCTTAAATCTTATCAACTCATCATTTAAGGTCAGAGGTGGAGCATGTTGAAGCATATTATATACATCAATAAACACTTCTGGTATGCCTCACCTGGAAATATGCATGGTTATAGCCCAGGTTTTGAAGAACGGCTGTCCTGAAAGTAGTTAAATGCAGAGGAGCATGGTTAAAGGTGATCCTTTGTTCCTTGAACTGAACAGTAGTAGAGCCAAGCTAAAATTGACAAAGAAGTAAAATAATGCATTGCAATCAATAAACATGTTTCAGAATACATTCAAATTTTCTTTTAATTTTGCAGAAACCAAGCAACGATGTAAGGATAAAAATAAATTACAGATGTGAAATGAAAATATAATTGTCTGTTAGCATAGTAAACTGCATGACAGTAGGCCCAAATTAATATTTAGTTAGTAGGAAAAAATCAAAAAGCTACCCTGCAAACCAGGATGAGAAATGCCAAGCCATTTTTTAATTTATGGCAACGGCAAACTGAGGTCTGCCTCCATTGTAACTCATAGGGATGTTCCAATAAGTCATTCTAGAGCAATGCTTCCCAACCCTGGGTCTCCAGATGTACTTGGACTACAACTCCCAGAAATCCTGGCAGCACAACTGGTGGTGAAGACTTCTAGGAGTTTTATTCAAAGAACATCTGGGGATACAAGATTGGGAACCATTATATTGAATACATAAATGTTAATGTTCAAGTAAATTGTTTGACAAAGCAAAACACTGACTGGCCAAGAATAATAGAACATTTAAAGCACTCTCTGGGTGGTTAATTATGCAAGCTATACATTCCCCACCTTCCGGTGAGGTGGGTACTCATTTTACTGACCTCGGAAGGATAGAAGGCTGAGCCAGCTACCTGGGATTGAACTCTAGGTCGTGAGCACAGTTTTGACTACAGTACAGTAGTTTAACCACTGCACCACAAGTATGCACCAAGGCCTCAGAAATTATCTGAGAATGTCAACCTTTGCTGTTTAGTAACCTCTCTGAGACTACTAGAGGCTAATGGATCTTCTCTGCTTTATATCAGTAGGAATTGTGCCTTTATAAATTTTGTCTCAACCCTTGCACATCATGGGTCTTAACCCATGCATAAAAAGAACAGATGAGGCTATAGATGGGCAAGAGATATATAACCTGAATCTCTCTAATCCAGAGGACATGACTTCAGCAGAGTTGTCAGCCTTCTAAATCCCCTGCCAGTCCCCATCAACTTCACCTTATAGGAACCAGTACAACGCTCCCCCTGAACCATACACTGCACCATATAAAGTGTTCATTCTCTTGAAGCAGAGGTCAACAGTGTTTGTTTGAAGGTATCATTGTAAAGGGCAGGGACATGGTGGTGCTACAGGTTAAACCACAAAGCCTCTGGGCTGCAAGGTCGTAAGATCAGCAGTTCGAATCCATGCAACGGAATGAGCTCCTGTCGCTTGTCTCAGCTCCTGCCAACCTAGCAGTTCAAAAGCATCTAAAAATGCAAGCAGATAAATAGGCACCACCTTGGTGGGAAAGCAACAGCATCCATGTCTAGTTGCGCTGGCCACATGACCACGGAAACTGTCTATGGGCAAATGCTGGCTCTATGGTTTGGAAATGGGGATGAGCACCACCACCACCCCAGAATCGGACACGACTGGACAATTTGTCGAAGGGAATCTTTACCTTTACCATTTTAAAACAGGATCATTATAATAAGGTCAACTTTATTTTTTAAAAAAAGCCATATAGTAAAAGTAGTAAAAGACTGCTTTCTTGCCTTGGCAAAGCATTTTAGTTTAAGTGTTTTTCCTTGATGTACGCACAGATCAAATTCTCCTGTTGTTGGAGCAGAGAAGCTTGGGCGCCAAACTACCTCACACTCTAGATCTTGATATGCTTCTACAATTCCTAAATTAATAGACAAAAGGAAAAAAATATTATTACTTTTATGAATATAAAGATTATGGAGGGTGAAAAGTAATTTTAAAACTCCATTTAAATCCTGCTCCCCATTTTTCAGTTTGCAAATGTACTTTGTCAGATTACAGTATGGGCTACAGAATGAGAGTAAAATATTAATAGGGCAGCAATCTTCCATCTGTCAGTAACCCAAACCAGTGAAACTGTGCCACTCTTACAAAGCCAAGGTTCTAATAAATGAAGCAGTGCCACAAAGCTAAACATGAATTTTAAAGCATTCCCACCACCACTACCTCCTTTGGCAATGACTCAGCTTTGCCAGTGGTATTTATTTATTTATTTATTTATTTATTTATTTATTTATTTATTTATTTATTTATTTATTTATTTTTAGCCACACCATTACCAGTGGCTTCTGGGCGGGGAATATTTTCCTTTCCTTTTCTATTCCTTTTCTGAAGACAATATAAAATATCATATATTAAAATAATTCTTAAAACATTAAGTTAATAAGTCCTGCTGCTCATATGGCCAGCTAGGGAGTACTGTTTAATTAAAATGCTGGCTAAACAGAAAGGTCTTTGCCTGGCACCGAAAAGCCAAGAGTGTTGGAGCCAGGCGGATCTCTATGGGGAGGACATTCCAAAGTTGTGTAAGGTGTGTAAAGGTAAAGCTTAGATCTCCCTGCATGCTGCAATGCTGATCACAATTCTGCCAGTGCACACAGCATTTAAATTTTATAAAACAGTATTTGTGCAGCCTAAAATTTTCTCAACAGTTAAGAATGGAAATAAGACCTAATGTACTAACGTATAATGTAATGTGACATAATTAATTTGGAGCAGGCATGGCTTAACCTTTCTCCATGTGGTACAGATAGAGGCTAAAAGGACTGCAGATGTAGTGGATCCTTGTTCTTTCCTGCCCCACCCACCACCTTCCACCCACCACACCTTTTTTCCCCTCACCAAGATGAGAGTTATGACTTCAAGGTTGCAGCCACTGCGAAAACCAGGAGGAGCTTAATCTAACATCTTGGGAAAGGGTTTCTTTATGGCCCTGGGATACTATCCTGGGAGGAAGGATAGCTCATAGTCTCCAATCTCTAACAGGAGATTGGTACTAATATGGAAACCTCAGGGCCACAGCAACAGCCTGAGAAGAGCCTGAAGAGTTCAAGAGATTGCACTTTTTCAGGACATTTGATTGGCTCTAATAAAGGTACTGTTTGATTTTGGATATTTCTTTCTTAAGGACCAGTGTGGCTCTGTCTTTACTTCTCTCAAGGTTAACAGAAATACCTTTCTCTGGGCATATGGAAAATGCCATTCCTTGATCTGTGATTATAGGCTTCCAGGTGAATTCTGCAGGATAGTTTTTGCGATTGTATAGTGTGACTGTTGTTCTAAATCCACTTTCTGCTAAGAAGCTATAGGTGGGGTTTAAAGTCAATTCTCTTGTAGATAGCTCCAAGGCTATGGGTACTATTTTTGCTAACACTAGCACATATCCAGTGTGATGTTGGTTTATTGTATATGTGAAAGACCTGTAACACAAAAAGAAATTTCTTCATCAGAGTTCAATATCATCAATTTAATTATCTAAGAGTAAACTAAAACATATTGGCCTATATATGTATGATCAGGTTGGAACTGATATACAGTATAAGCAACCCTAATGTGCTTTCAAAGTAAATGAGATATTTAAGAAGTGTTTTTACCAGTTCCACCCATCCCACTCAGTTTCTATTGCCAAGTGGGAATTTGAACCCAGGTCTTGTGAGTCCCAATCCATCACTCTATCCAGTACACCACACTAAGTATGGATCTCTATATGTTAGATGTGACTACTTCTTCTTCTTCTTCTTCTTCTTCTTCTTCTTCTTCTTCTTCTTCTTCTTCTTCTTCTTCTTCTTCTTCTTCTTCTTCTTCTTCTTAGAATGGCATGAGGTGCCTCTCATGCAGTTCAGTGAGTCGGGGGGGTGTCCATCCACAGGGGGGGTGTTGTAAATTGAAATGTTATCCATGGTTTCCAATTTTGTGTACGCAGCCCCATTCCAATACATGGAAATGTTGGCACAGAACAGGCAACAAAGTTCCATCTCTGGTGACTGAGTAAAGGAGGCTAAAGACTATTTGAATAAAATCTTGCACTCTTTTTCTTACTGAAAGCTAGTAGATTATTCTATTTTAAAATAGGATTGACTGAAAGGATGCCCCAGTTAATGGGGCAGGAGATGTAAACCTGGAAAAAAGCTCAAAGGTCATCAATTAGAAGCTCTGGCAACACTGGCAATGCATAGCCTAAAAAAACCCCTCCCATCTATTCTTTGTTCAAAAACCACCAATGAAGGGGTTATTCAGTACCAATAATTAAGAAATGCATATTCTTTCCCCCTTTTTCTAACACACAAAAGGACTTGCATCTTCTGCTATAATGCCTGACAAGACACACAAGTAGATCACCATAAAAACAAAGAACATTGTGTGCTTTGCAAATGTTTTTACTTGTGTACCTATTTCTGTTTTGGAGTTCTAATTACCTTTTTAAAGTTTTTAGCTAAACTAGGCTACTTTCAACAGTACTAATAGTTTTAGATGTAGACAGGCAACAAAAGCCACATACAAAAAAGCACAATTAGATGTAGACAGACACTTGCAACAAAAGCCACATACAAAAAAGCACAATCTTGCCACAAAACAGCATTGTGGCAACTGCATCATCAAGTATGCTTGACAGAGAACTTTAGTTTCACTGAAGGCAAAGATTTGCTTTCTTCCCTCAAATATCCCTAAAGGGATCTCTTGAACCCAAATTTGGTCAAAACAGTATATGGTTATGTCATAATATTTCTTAAAGCTGTGATATAATTCAAATATTAGAATACACCAAATGAAAACATAAAACACAGTCATGAGAAGGAAAAAGAAGCATCCTTCATAATAAACCTGTTTTATATCATATCAGTTTAGATGCCAAAGCCTGTCACTCTGCAAAGGTACACTTGATTTTCAATTATTCTTTTTTAAATTGTTTTGTGACAAGAGGCATAAGAGGAGTTCTTCCTAGACACTCATAACACATTACTCAAAGAATTCTCTCCTGTCAAGCAGCTAAATGAATATGTAGATACAGTGTCATATAAGAAGTTTTACTTTCGAAAGTTTCCTAATTTGTTGTTCTCAAATACTACTGGAATAGAAGTCTTCGTAAAAGGTGGCATGACATGAGACAACGGGCTGGTCTGTTGCAGCTCTTCACTTTCAATTTCTACTTGAATCCAGACATGTATAGGCAAATTATTTACAATATGCATTTTCCTGGTAGATGTAGAATGCACACAGACTTCTCCAAAGTCAATGGTGGAAGGGCCTGGAAGGAACAAAAAGGAGATCACCGAGTTGTGAATAAGGAACACTGAGACTACTAAACTGCCCATGTCTACTGTTCCTTGTCTTTCCCACAAAGCATTGAGACTGGCTATGTAGGTGGTTGGCTAACACAAAGTCAATAGAATTTGATCTCTCCGTCTCAAAATCCCAGTTTGCAATCTAGTTTTTCCTCTAAGCTGCACTCCCACCCATTATCTTCTCACCACAATGTAGAATTGCTCAGTCACCCATTTTGAAGAGTAAATAGAAATTTCTTCATCTCTTGACCCAGACTGCTCAGAGAAATATGGATTTTGTCTATTATAGCATCGCTGGCAGGTTCTGTTTCCCTTCTCACTGGTATGTATGTCGTGGCAGTAAATACTGTATTTTTCCATGTATAAGAGGATAATTTTTTTCTAAAATAAAGTAAAAAAGGAGGGTAGTCTTATACACAGAAGTAAGGGGGAAGGGATCAAAGGGCTGCATGATCACAGCCCTTTGATCATGAAGCCCTTCCATGGCTGCTTTACTTCGGATAAAGCAGCGATGAAAGGGCTGCACAATTGCAGCCCTTTGATCATGCAGCCCTTTCATGGCTGCTTTACCCAAAGTAGGAACAAAATAGACAACCCCCATTTTTTAATTTGGGGTTGGAAAAGTGGGGGTCATCTTATACATTGGGTCATCTTATACACTGAAAAATACGGTAAACACAAATAGGTCATGTCTCACAGAAAAAAAATGGTTTAGCTCTTTTTTTGGAGAGTACTCTATACTGAACAGGAAGTTCAATACAAGCCTTCCGGGCAATCAGGTTTGAGCAAAAAAGGAACAAAAATTCAAAAAAAAACCTTAGGATCTCACTCACTCAGAACTTATTGGCTTTGTGTGGGGTGAGGTACCTCAGTCAGGCCTTCCCAGTAAGTATTTGGACAGATTGGTTAGGAACAGCCAAGAGCAGAGACAGTGACCCCAGGAGGATTGAGCAGGTTACCCAGTTAATTCAGCAATGAAAAAGAAACATGCATGTCTGTGAGGCTAGAACACAGCAATGAAGAACTGAAGGATAAATAACACGTTTTGATGAGTTTTAATGCTACGTGCATCATACTTCTATAAAGCAATTTTATGCATGCATTGTATATTTTGCAGCTGGTTGGATAACTCAATGAGATAGAGATCCAGCTGAGAAGGCAGAAACTGGGAGTTCAAATCCCCACTGTGTATCCCAGGAGAGTCAGCTTGTCTGGCCTTGGGCAAGCTGCACAGTCCCAGGTTGCCCCCAGAAGAAGAAAATGTCAGAGTACTCTATACCTAGAAAACCCTGAAAAGGCTTGCCATACATCAGAATTTAATTGATGGAACACAATTGTTATTATTCAAGTATATTCATCCAGAACTGAATCCATGTTCAACACAATTTACTACTAGCTTCAGTGTGGTAGCATCTACACAAAACAAGGAGATATTGACGAACTTGAAAGGACAAAATCTTTGGGGGGCGAGAAGCCTAAGGGGAAAGACTTGCCTGCAGAAACTACTGGATGAGGGCAACATGCTCACAAGATGCAGAATGTGTCAATGGAGTAGAAACAAAATGAAGAGGGAGGGGGACACGGCTGTAATACCATTCTCCTGACATACCCTTTGATCAGGGTCCCAACCTAAGTACGTAGCTCTAGGGTAGTGAATATATTATTCCCTCCCACTGATTTCAACAAGAGTTAAATTTTAAGAAGCAAAAATGCATACAAAAAGAAGGCAAAAGAACAAGCTGCCCTACAGAATTCTTTAACCAATTAGAACTGGTGTATATTAAGAAAAGTAACAATTTACAAATGTTATTTTAAACAAATGCAGGTTTTTAGTGCTGGTAAAATCAAAGAAGGGTAATCCTTTCTAGCAGGTCAGAAATTTACCAATGAATATCTGATGAAGCTGCTTCGATGTCAACATTGAATTACAGTCTTCTATCTCTTGTGGAGAAGATGGTACGGGGTTAAGTCCATCTCTAGCCTATAAAAAAGTCCCACACAACAATTACCTACCAATACACACAGTGTAGTACCCTTTTGTTCAAACATTGTACACAAACTATATAGCATCTTAAGAAAACGGGCAAGGAAATTAATAAGAATGGAGGTAGGAGAAAGCACACCAAAATAAAGTAATAATAGCACCATTGTCCTTGTTCACAGCACACTCTGCCAAAGACCAAAACATCCATGTTTAATATTCACAGGCTGAAATCCTGTTGTGCAGTTATGCAAATTGCATAACTTCCTTAAATATGACACCAGGCCTCTGGGGAAACAAGGAAAGGGGCTACAGAGGCATGGCTCATTGTTTCTGGTTAAGCAGCTACTACTCATAGCCAACCTGCTTAAAAGTGAGGACACAAACAGGCTTGCTTGTTTTGCAAATACAGTGGTGCCCCGCATAGCGAGGTTAATCCGTTCCGGATAAACCTTCGCTATGCGGAATCGTCGCTAAACGGGTAGGGAAAATGTATTGAAACGCATTAAACTTAGTTTAATGCGTTCCAATACCTTTCTTACTTACCCATTCAGCGAGGATTCCAATTGCCGGCAGCCATTTTCACGCCCTCGCTAAGCGAGGGCACGGCGTGAAAACGGCTGCCAGCAGCCATTTCCAGGCTTCCGGTGGCCATTTTGGAGCCGCCGAACAGCTGTTCAGCGGCTCCAAAATGGCCGCCGCAATACCCGATCTTCGCAATGCGGGTTTTCCCCATTGCGAAGATCGGGTATGTTTCCGTATAGCGATCCCGAAAAAGGGATCGCTATACGGAAACATCGCTATACAGTGCACTCGTTAAGCGAGGCACCACTGTACAGTGGTGCCTCGACTTATGAATGTCCCAACTTACAACCATTTTAAGTTGCGACCAGCTCCGGCTGCAAAATTTTGCTTCGACTTGCGGCTGGAGCTTCGAGTTGAGACAGGAAAAAGGAAGGGGAAAAAAAGCGGGGAATTCAAATTTGCTAACCGTTGGTAGGCAAAGAGGCTGCTTTCTTTGTAGCTCTTTCATCCCAGCAGTTAGAGTGAGTGTGTGGGAGGAGGCTTCAGCGTCCTGGAGCTGTTTTCTGCTCCTGAGTAAGTACATTTACTTTGTTTTGCAGGTTGGGTTTGTGTTTGGGGAGGGGGGAGTTATGTTTCTGTGCTGTGATTTTTGTGTGTGTGTGTTTTGGTGGTTTTTCCCCCCAGCCCTATAGCATTCCGCTGGGGCTGGCTGGGGGGGGGGTTGAATGTTTTTTCCCAGCCACATAGGGTTCCGCTGGGGCTGGGTTTTTTGTTTGTTGTTGTTTTGGTGTGTTTGTTTTTCATCCCCAGCGCATTTCTATGGGGTTTGCAGTGTTTTATTTTATTTTATTTTCCCCGCTGGAATGGATTACTGTAATATATTCCTATGGGAAATGGTGCTTTGACTTATGACCATTTTGAGTTGCGCCCCTCTTCTGGAACAGATTATGGTTGTAAATCAAGGCACCACTGTATTCATATTCAGTTTCTTATGACCCAATCTCAGTTTATCTTTATAGACCACTTCAGGCTACTCTTTTCTCTTGGTTTCTAAAATTTTCTTCCCTCTGGATGGATGAGAATTTCGTTTCACTTCATTGTTGTTCAGAATTCATTAACAAGCAACTTCTGCTGCTCAAAGGAACATTAAATGAATTTTATTATTGGCTCACCATTCTTTGTTATCTATTCCAATTAACTAGCTTCTCTAAGTACTTCCCTATCACACTTTTTACACAGTCCATAACCAAGGACAGGCAATATTTTTGCACAAATATTGCCTCTCTTTTCACTTCTGTCCAACACTGTGGCCGAGATTGTAACTCAAGCGGCAATTCCACATCACTGCTGCATTTAACAGATAAATAAATAGCTCCAAACAAATTATAATACATACAATGAAGTGTAGCATTTCTGAGAGAAAGGTAGCCATGCACTTATACAAAGTTATGGGAAAGTGAAATACTATTTTACTAATATTCTTTATGACTATTTGTTGCTAATACATTGTTTGCTTTATTTATTTTTTTATATTTCGATACCACGCCATCTAGTAACATTGCCACTATTCTGGGTTGTTTCCAACGATGAAATAAACATAAAGAACCACCCCACAGATTTTAAATATATAAAAATATATTTAAAAGAACACAAAATCCAAGATGGCAGCAACAGACAAGATACAAATTACAAAATATATTGGCGGAAAGTAAGACTAAATAATGATCAGTTACAGAGGGAGGGTATCCTGAAATGACTCCCTGAAAAGCAATGTTTTAATGCACTTTCTGAATATTAGGAGGAATGGGGCCTGGCACACATACACAGATAGAGCATTCTACAAAGAGGTGGTCACCATTGAGAAGGTCTAGTTCCTAGACACAGACTTCCTAGCCTCCCTTAGGGGAGCATCAAAGCCTGAGAAGTGCAAGTGGCACAAGAAGTTAATCTTAAAGAGAGATGTTCCAATAGGTAGCAAAGTCCCAAACCCTTCAGGTCTTTATAGGTCAACATTAGTACCTTGAATTTGGCATGGAAGCAAATCGACAACCAATGTAAGCTAGTCAAAAAAATTTCTGTGTATAAGACTATACATTTGTCTAAAATCTTTAGACTAGGAATTGAAGGTCATCTTACACACGGAAGTTAGCTGAGGAGAGAACAAAAACAAGTGGAGGAGAAAGCAGGGATCAAAGCTATCCTGCATCGCTTTGATCCCTTTCCCCCCACCCGTGCTAAGGCCCACTGAGATTTCTTAATTTTGGATTAGAAAAGTGGAGGGTATCTTATACATGCTGGCATCTTATACACGGAAAAATACGGTAATATCTTGAAAACCCTGAGATCACCCTGGTCACTGCATTTTGTAACTGCTCCAGCTTCAACAATAGCCCAATAGAGCATTGCAATAGTCAATTTTAGAGATTACCAATGCATGAACTTGTATTATCAGGGAGTTCTTGTCTAGATAGGGCCACAGGTGCTGAGTCTCCCTAAAACACAAAAAGGCAGACCGGGACATGGCCAAGATTTGTTCCTCCATCGTGATGGACAGGTCCATAAGCATACCCAAATTATGAACCTGATTTTCCAGGGAAAGTGTAACCCCATCTAGAGTAAGCCACCACTACCCCTCCAACAATCAGGATCCCCTTCTAACAAGATCTCCATCTTGTCAGGATTCAACCTTAGCCTGTTCATCCTCACCCAGTCCATAACAGAGGACAAGCAGTGATCTAGCGTCTGCCCAGCTTGCCTTGCTGAAGAAAAAGAGAGATGAAGCTGTGAGTCATCAGGATATTGATGACAGCACACTTCAACTCTCCAGATGACCTCCCCAGTGGCCCTGTATATTTATCAAACAGCATTGGGACCCACAGGATTGTAATAGCCTCACCAAACTGTACCATATGGAGCTGGCCTTCAAGGAGGAGCTGGGGGCAGCTAATCACTAGCCCCCTGATCCCCAACCTCACTAGCTGGTCCAGAAGGATATTGTGGTCAATGGTATCAAAGGCTGCAGAGAGATCCAACAGGACCAACAAGAATGTCTGTAGCTGGTTAGCCACCACCCATTCAATCCGCAGTAAGCAGTAAGTAAGCAGACTAGTGGTAGAAATCAGGAATTTATCTTTGGGGGGGGGACTGAAAGAATGCAACCTTGCTAGCTTTGATCATGCCCCTAAATTCAATCAGTATGTGCCCCAGTCCCTTTTTACCTTTTGTGCAGGAGAAGAAGTAAATAGGATGCCAGAGGCAAGCAGCACTTATATGAATGCCTTGCAAAATTGGAAGTGTTTATCCAGCAAATAATCTTTTTCTTTCAAAAAGTTCATAAAATTGTACCATGGAACTGCTAAAAGCCAAAGGCTTAGCAGTCAGCATTAATTCTGCTGGGACAAAAATACTGCATTTTTTCCCAGGGAAAATTTTAAAAGCTGAAAAAATAAGATTTTCCCACAAGACTAATATTGCAAGCAACCTGGAGTTAAAAAAACAAATCACATCAAAATACTTAATGCTCACATAAATGTACAAAGACTCATAGCAAAAAGGAAGCTGCAGAATAATACACTAGCACTCTAAGGCTATACTGCTCTGCATACCTCTCTGTGAGTAAGTCCCTTTAAGAAGGGCCACTGTGGAAGCATGCATGGAATCGGACTGCAAGTCTATCTGATGGGATAACAACATCAGAGGACAGTGAGCTATACATTACAGGCCCATTAAAGTTTATTAGCCAAGCAAGGTTACAACTGGCTGGATTGCTCAGCCAGTTTAGTATCATGTTGCAGAGCCAGAGGTTGGAGGTTCAATTCCCTACTGTGCATCCTGGAAGAGCCAGCCTGTGTAGCCACTGGCAGGCTGCACACTCCCAGGATACCCCTAGAATAGTGGTTCACAACCTTGGACCCCCAGAGGTTCTTGAACTACCAGTACACTACAAGATCTTGGCCAATACAGCTAGTGGTGAAGACTTCTGGGGGTTTTAGTTCAAGAACATCTTGGGATGTAAGGTTGGGAACCACTGCCGTAGAAGAAGGAAATGGTAAACGACTTCTGAGTACTCTACCTTGAAAATCCTGAAAAGAGTTGTCATAAGGCAGAAGTGACTTGACATCAGACAATTATTACTGTATTAGCAAGCTTAGCCATATTCAAGCATATTTAACTTACCTCTTTATCTACAGCTTTAGATTCAGTTTCTGCTAGCTGGCGACTAGTTAGAAGACTACTTTTATGTACAAAAGCATCTTCTTTCTCTAATTTCTCTCTCTGTAAAATTTTGATCCTTGGCGATTTCAATCCTGATGCTGGTTTTAAACCTATGTCCACAGGATTATTAAGTAGTTCAAAGACCCTATCCAATGGGAATAGAGAAAGAAGTGGCATTCAGCTGCATAGCAGATCTAGCAAAGGATTAGATACTTTGACTGGCATTTTGAATAGGCATTTTAATGAAGAAATGACATTCCTGAAAGCAAATATCTCGCCAAACCCTTATGGAAAATACTCACCAACGCCCACTATTCATTTCTCCTTATACAGGCTATCATAGAACTTTACCTGAAGTCTTGACATCAAACGAGTGTGCTGTTTGTATCCCAAAAACAGCTTGTCTTATATCTCTGTCTTGGGCTAAGCAAGAGCTCCCTGAGAGTTCCAGTTCACACTCCAATTAGATTCAAAACATGAATCCTCATACTTCCACAGATGTGTGTGGGAAATTTTTAAAAGTTGTTTTATTTATTTATTTATTTGATTTTTACCCCGCCCCTCTAGACCATGTCTACTCGGGGCGGCTTACAAAATAAGACAAAACAATATAAAAATATATAAAATCATAAAATCCCTGAGAGGTTCACACTCAAATTAGATTCAAAACATGGATCCTCATATTTCCCACAGATATGTGTGGGAAATTTTTAAAGGTTGTAACCATTTTTGTTTTTTCATGGATATCCATAAAATTTAGACATGTGATAGATTCTTGTCAAATCTCAGACTAATAGATCCCAAACTATTTTTGTTTTATTCATGGATATGCATGAAATTTAGACATGTGATAAATTCTTCAGAGAGGATCATTCTTGTCAAATCTCAGACTAATAGATCCACTGCTTTTGTGCTAATAATTTTTAAAGTTTTCCTTACAAATGACCAGAACAGTTTTGTTTTTCCAGTAAGTGTAATGAAACAAACTTTTGTAGCACCTTATGAGTTCGTGATCTCTGACAAGTTTCGTACTTATCTAGGGTAGTTTTGCTATCCAACATTAATATTTAAATTAATATGAAACAAATGCTAACATGTTTCCTGTTTTTCTGCATTTCTAGCAGTGTCTGTAACTCATGGGTTGCTTACATGCTAAGACACAGTCTGAGAAAACAGAGAAACATACTAAGCAACACAGAATGAAGTCAAAACAAAACACAACCTAAAAAGCTAGGGCCTAAATATTGGGGGGGGGGGGGGGTGTTAAAGAAAGGGATTAGGGAACTGCTGTAGCCTAAAACTGTTTCCAAAATAACATTGAGAACATCACACAGACTCACTCAAATAAAGAACAAATATAAAGTGTAAAGAAGCAACGGACTGAAGTTCAGCTACTTGTACAATAGACAAGCCACAAATATGAGATACAATAAATATAACATTATCACCAATCCCCCAGAGCTTTGTGGTAGGTGTAGTTTTTTGGATGAGTCCTCTAACAGAGCCTAATGGATGGCAAGACGATAGCTTCCATAGAGGCCTATGCCTTCCAGAAAGCACTGTTTTTTTTTCCTTTTTGCACAGAAAGTAGGCCCAGTTCCAGTTGAGTGTTATGTAGGTGTGTGTCTTGGGCAGAAACTCCCATAATTCTGGCTGGGAAATTCTTGGAAAATCTGGGGAGGGGGTGCTAGAGTCCAAAAAACAAAAAACAAAAAAAAAACTAAACCCAAATAGCACGCCTCTATTTTCTTGTTTCCTTCTAGAATCTCTTTTTATTACTGGTTTTAGCTTTTAATATTGTCTTTTAATTATGTAAACCCCTTTTGGTCCTTTTTAAGGAAAAAGGTGGGAGGAAATATTTTAAATAAATAAAATCGGAAACCCAAATCAGTCCAACACAATTTACACTGATATGGAATCTGATTTGGATAAACCTAATCTTCTTCAGACCTTATCTGAATCAACCTATTTGAATATAGGATTCAGAGGAATCTGTTGCAGAATCCAAGTGTTTGCAGGAATTGTATGAGTCACCCAGGACTGGTTGATACCAAGAATTTAAGAATAGACTAAGGTCTCTGTGTGCAATAGTAAGTTCTGACATATCACAGAGGTTTTTAAGGTGTCTATTTGACAAAGGGGACATTTGGATGGGCTTCCTCCTGCTCATTTATTAACTGCAAGAGACAACACCACATATGGATTAGCATATGACCTTGGTACTCAAGGTCATAGCTGATAATTAGGAACCAAACATAATGTACATGCTTGCAAACCCATGGCAACATACACAGACATTCTGTAGTAATATTTGAGTCTCCGAATGTTGCTATGATAGACTTAATTTTTTTCCAGGCCATTCAGAAAAGGATAATAACTCTTAATCCTTAAATTATGGTTTAGATTTATGTGCCATATCATGTTGTGCAGCTCTTTCTAAATATATATTTTTAAAGTGAAGCTATAAGGTAAAAAATTTCCAAAATGACCAGGCATCACACAACTTGGGTAGTTTATTTGGAAGAAATATTTACCGAGCAGCTTTTTTATGCAAACGGTGCTCTCTTAGATCCCGAATATAGTCTGCATAGTGGTCCTCATTCTCTTGTCTTTCCAATTCTTCATATACCGTATAAGAAAACTCTGGATCAAGATAACTATATCTGGCAACTTTTGTGAAAATTGTCCTAAATTTGTAAAAGGAGACACAGCTTCATTAATGCCTGGATGATTTAAGTTTGTATAAGATGTCTTTGCTTATGCTACATAAATATTTTATTCGTACTTCCATTATGCCCTGATAATTACCGCACTTAACTTTGCAAAGATGAACATAACAGAGATTAATGTCAATTAGATTTGGAAAAAAAAAATACTAGTGAAGCACCTTGCAAGTATGCAAGTAAAAATAGTTTGCAGCTGAATGCAGATTCTTTATATAAATGTCACAGCACTGAAAATTATAAAATAAAATATTTAACATGATATCTTACAGTTATGAGCTAAATTTGTATTACTACCTGTAATTCTTATGCAATTCAGCAGGCCTCAGGCTGGCTGGACAATCATTAGGAAGAGCTATTATTGCATTGCTCAAGTTTCTGTTAATCCGGTGAGCATGAAGTTGTGTCTGATTTGATTTTAGCAATGCTGCTGGTGGAATATCACTATGCTGTTCCGCCTTTTTAGTTGTAAATACCCCCATTGCATTGGAAATCAATGGTGTCAAACCTTAGGATTAAAAAAAAAATGAATTATATAGGAATAGAAAACCAAGTATAAATTGCTATCATATATGCTTTCATATTAGAAAATACTTGACCCTTAGTAACAATATTCTTTCAACAATTAAGAAGTAATTATATAAATACTAGTTCATTTAAAAAATGCATAGTGTAGGAAAAATATTTCTCAGAATAAGAGAATGTATAAACATGTTTATGTTTATTTCCAATCAAGTACAGTGAATAGAAAAGAAAGAAATTGAAAGCCTGTCAACAACAAAAATGGACGATGGAAATAAGAGTTAAATCACAGTAGAGTTTAACCACATGATATTAAAGCACAGGAAAATGAGTTTTAATGTAGGTATTTTAACAAATCCCAGTTTTGCATTCCATCTGTTTTACATTAGCTGGGATCCAAGAAGACTGCACACCTTCTGTATATCACCAGATTATAATTTTTTTTCCTGCATTAACATTTTTAGGAACCCTATTTAGAAAAAAAAAGTGCTAATAATAGAGGAGTTGCCTTTCAGGTCTCTCCCACTTTCAAAGGACCCAGTACCACTACTGGAATCATTATTTGGTATTTTATTCTGACCCGCAAGCTGTTTTGCCCTTTGCACTAGTGGGGAAGTGGGCAATAGCATCTACAAGAAGGAATTGGATCATCTTACCCCATCAAATTTAAAAGTTCTACTCAACCCAACTGAATATCAAAACCCAAAGATACTCATGTTCATTTGAATTCCTCATGCGCCCCCAACACATTCAGATTAATCAGGAGTTGCTTAGCCATTTCTCGTGAATTCCTTATGAATCCTCAACACATATTCATATTGAGCATGAGTTGCCAAGCTATAAGAACCTGAATCTAATAATGACCAAACTTTGAATCAGTATGGTTTATGTACATGTTGACTCATCATTCAACAGTTCGCTGGGTCTAATCCAGTTGAGATAACCAAATTGTTTTAGGACAATGTGATACAATGGCAAGAATAATCATGTCAATGAATTAAGCATCTGAGTGTTCGCATGCCAGAAAAACCCTTGTAAGTATTTCTGCCCTATCACTTCAAACCAGCTTTAGTGTCTGAATTTTCCCTCAGAAGACCTGCTAGAAATATTGTTGCAAATGAATTAAAAGTTTCATTTTTTCTTAACATCTTACCAGAGTTGACTTTCAGTACAACTTTACTGGTTACAGACTTGCAAAGGCCAGAGAAATCTAAGTATATTTGATGGAAAGGCTTCATATTCAGAGTTGGTAAGCTGTTCTCCTCTGGTACTGGACCAATAATATCTACCACCTGCCTCATTATGAAGACTCCTATGTGACGTGGAACAAATGAAAACACCACATCCTGTGGACAAAAACATAATAACATTAAGTTAATTGAGGAAAGGAAATAGAAGACTTATAAAGGACTACAATACTTTATTTCCTTCCAGGTATTGTGCATTTCCTTTTGCTTCTGCAAATCCACAACATCTAAATCCCCAGCTTTCAAATAAGTGAATTCTTCTTCTTGTAATTTAAGTGGAAATTTTCTAAATTTAAATTTTCAAATTGAGACATGTATGAAAGTTGTACATTCTAATTCTACTGTTCAGCTTTAAAGTTCACTTAATGCTCTAAACAACACAGAACAGGCATTGTCTGTTATAATATAAACTGGCAATAGTAGTGGAAGACTCAGGCAAAGGCCAATTATTACTAATGAGCAAAAACTCCAGAGTGGGGAGCTTTATGATGAGATGAGTTATGTCTACATACACCTTGCTCAGGCCATGAGCCACCAAAGAGTAAACTGAATGGGAAAACAGCGATTTGAGTAATTGCAGGAATGAACAGTTTAGTGAAATCTCTGAACAAGCCAGGATTCATAAGCTAGTATGTGTTGTTTAGATGGATCAAGAAAGTTATTTTGTATAGATGAACCTTGGCAAGAGATTCCGAAAAAGAGAGGATGTTTCACGTAAGAAGCAAAAAAGAAAGAAAGCATCAGGATAGGAATGAAAGCTGTCAGAAGAAAATGACAGAATAGAGGAAGAAAATACAGGGGGAAGCATTAATCTTAGAAATGGGAATTTGCAGTTGTAGTGTGCACCTCAGTCCCCTGCCAGATTGTACAATGGAGCTGCATCCTGCCACCCCATCAATTGGTCACAATTAGACACAACAAGTTACACAAACATTATGTGAATACCAGTAGGATTCTAACCAAGATTTCATAACAAAATACTTTAAAATACAGTGGTGCCTCACTTAGCGATCACTCCATTGAACGATGAAATCGATTTGCAATGGACTTCTGGCCATCGCTGGAGTGATCGCTTAGTGATGGCCCCTATGGCTAAAATTCGCTTTGTGATGATTGTGGGGAAGCCATCATGGCAAAGCGAACTTTTTTAAACAGCTGATCGGCGGTTCCAAAATGGCAAAAACAAAATGGCCACCGCTGTTTTGCCTCGCTTTAGAGGCACCCAAAATGGCCATCGCTATGGAGGAATTTCACTTTAAGGTAAGTTTTTAGCCCATAGGAACATATTAAACGCGTTTTAATATGTTCCTATGGGCTTTTTAATATCGCTAAGCGATTAAATCGCTTCGCGATGTTTTTTCCGGAATGGATTAACATCGCTAAGTGAGGCACCACTGTATATGATGTGGAAAATGAAGTTTTAAAATATACCTGTGAAGAACTTGCTTTAATTTTTCCTTTTTGAGGACAAATACTGTAATGTGCAATCTTTCGAAAAGCATATGACACTGGAAGAATATCACATTCATTTTTCAGAGTACAAAGAATATCCGTATGTTCACCCATGTAACACTCCATAAAATTAACAAGTGGTCCTGGAATGAATGTCAGCATAACTGGGAGCCCTGATCCTGTCAAGCCCAATTCAACCTGATGAGGATTATTTGCTGGAAAAAAATTGAGAGAAAAGTACATGTTTATACACAGCAAGAAGAGTAATATACTATATGTATATACAGTAAATGTAGACATACAGCTTCATATAATTTTGCACACTTTTATTAATGATCATGTATGCACAGAATAAATAGGTAAAAACGCCACTTGCAAAAGGTGATTAAAACTTAAATCAGGAGGAGGAAAACAGTTGTATTTCTATGGGTCAAACAACAAATGCTATAGAGGGAAGAAAGCCCCTACAGACATTCTATTTCTCTAGAGTAAGATTTCAAATTTGAGGGCCAGAAATCTGCAGAATTACAGAACCTCCAGCCCAATTAGCTGGAAACTGGAGGTTCTGAAGCAAGGTGTGGGGGGGGGAACTCATCAGGCTCTGAAGGCTTGCCAAAAATCACACTAAGTACTTAGATGCTAGCAGCAATATGCCAGCAGTACATTCTGGAGTCAAGAAGATGCCAAGTAGCTATTCAATCTATGGCATACAGCATGAACTGGGCTCTTTTCATCATCTCTAAAGAATCAAACAACAGAGAGAGGTGCTGCATTCATTTATCACTTTAAGCCATTCATTATATAAAAACACAATCCATTGACTCCCACATTGTTTCTCCTGCTTGTGCACAGAAAAAAGAAGCTTGAACAGTTTAGTGATCTCTCTGAACAAGCCAGTATTCATGAGCTAAAACCAAACCTATGATTCGCACCTTCATATTTAATCAGAGGTGAATATGTTCCTATTATCTACATGTTCACAATAGAGAATTTTCTTATTCTTCCTGCAAAAAAGTATGCAGTTCTTAACATAAGAACATATGAAAAGCCCTGCTGGATCAGGCCAAGGGCCCATCTAGTCCAGCTTCCTGTATCACACAATGGCCCCACCAGATGCCTCTGGGAGCACACAAGACTAGATACCTATATCCTTATTTCTGTACATTTATTTCATAATAACTAACACCATACCACTAACAGATGGATAGTCTCGAGTTACTGCTTTGAAGAAGTCATCTTTACTTCCAACCACTTCGAATTTCAGAAAAAGAGCATAATCTTGTCTTGGTGGCATTCCTTCAAGGTGTTGATCTCTTTTCAGCTGCCTGTAAAATTCCCAATTAAATTTATTTTCCTATGGTCATTTTTGCTGTTGATGTATAATTGCTGATGTCTTACCAGTATAGCACAACATATAATAATATATAATATATAGAATATATAATTACCTATAAATATATGGGCAGAATTATATAATTTTAAGGAAGCCAAAACTGTGAGTTGAACTGATCAAATGTTGTAAAGGGTTAGAAATAACGTTTCAACATAGTAGCAGGAATCTTTTCTTTAGTGTAGTAGTCACGCTAGATTAGGTCCATTTAATTTGTGAATCAATTCCTCCATAAGTTCCACTGATTAAATGGGCCTACTCTAATGCAATTTACTACACTAAACAATGGGATTTCAACCATTGACACTTTTCTCATGCATCTATGTTAGTTAATTATAAGACCACATATTGATATCTCTACTTACTGTACTCAACACAGTGTTTAATAAACATACCCAGTTTCATCATTGTCACTATGCTATGGCTCTCTACAGTCATTAGGCATAGGCATCCTTCAGTCTCGAGAGACTATGGTGACATGCTCTGAATTGAGGAGTGTCCTCTCCAGAGTACAAAGCCCGGGTAAGGTAATATGGAGGATAGGCTGTTACCCAAGCAGCAGATCCCCCCTCTCCACATTGCTGAAATGGTCCAATGGAAAGGCAAGAGCCAATACAACTAGTTCCAGCAATGTCGCAGGAGTTGGCAGAACGACATGAGCTGCCTTCAGGACTCCAGCTCCGGATTTCCTTAAGTCAGTCATTATTGCACAGCAATATATCCCATAGTTTGGATCAAAGTTGGCATGGTTCAATTCAATGCATTTGGCAACTATATGACATAAAGCTAATTGCACAGAAGCCTGGGTTCTTTTCCCCATGGGCATTCAGTGCATTTTGATCCAGCATTGGGGAACGACTGTGCTAGGATGATTATTTGCTATTCCAATTCAGTGGTGTATTACTTGTGAAACAAAAAAAGGGAACATATGAAAGTAAAGGTGGATGAATGAAAGGAGAGGGAGTGGAAGAGGGTAGTGTCAACAGGACAGGAGTTACCAATGTTATAGATGCCCTCTGTAAGAGATAATTAAGCATTTGTCCGTTTCTTGGTCAGGATATCTGGATAGGAGAGGCTGAGCAAGGCCAGGAGGAGGAAGACAACTGCATTTAAAGAGGAACTACATTTAAAGAGTTAGAGTATTTGAATAGAAGAGCCTGTGTCTAAAAAAAGGATGGGGAGGGGGCGCTTCTTCTGACAATTCAAGAGCCTCTTCTGTTCCTTAATAACCATTTAATAGACCTGGTCCATATCAATGGCAATAGCAATTTCAACAGTGGAAACTGGTATTAAAAACTTTGAAGCAACCCAATTTAACCTGGCATATTTCACTAGTCACACCCTCAGAGTGTCTAATACTTTCCAAATAACTTAACATGTGGTTTTTTTTTCACCCCAATCATTCTCATAAGATCAGCTGATGACTGAAATCTCTGCTTAGCAGAAACAGTCAGAAGAGTAAGTCCAAGGAATCAATGACATTTATGGAGGAAGTAACTCATCAAATTTCCAGTGGTCCAATGCAATTTACTGTACTAGATTAAGCAACAGAATTTCAGCTGCTATCTCTCCCTTCATAAGTTCTTGCCACTTCTGTCACTAGAAGTGGAACTTGGGGTGAAAACCGGGATGCCTTATGGTTCTAAATGCTCATTTTACTGTAATTTTTAAAATATATTGAGATTATTTTCTTTTAAAAATGGTACTTCTATCCAAGTAAAAGTGTTCAACAGCAGGACTGTGAAATAAGCTCCATTGTATTCCTATAGCCACAATGATGCTAGGATTTCGCTGAGTCTGAAATAAGAAATTATGCAAGCTCCAGTTTGTTTTTTGTTTTAGTTTTTTATATCAGGGTTGGAATGGGTGGTTTGAATTTGTGCCCTAATATTTGAAAAGCAGAAGATGTTGTATAGCATAAAAGAGCACTGAGGAGATGGGAGAAAAATGTTTATGCACATCATAACTAAAGTAATATCCATGGCTAACTAAAGCCAGGGCCTTGGAAGAACATTGCATCCAGGGTAGCAGCACCACCGCCAACAATCACAACCCTTGAGTCTGCAAAGCCCCCAACTCTTTCAGCCACAGCAATTATCATTTTGAGCTGTATCCTTTTTTTTTCCTTAAGTAGGGTTATGACATCACTCAGCTGAAACTAGCAATGCTTAATGTTCAAAATGGGGCTTCCCCGCCCTCCATCCCCCTGTGGCTAGAGGAGAAAATGGAGGAAGCATACATAATCCAGACTACCTTTTGAATTTTGAAATTATTTATAACCATCAGAAGAGTTGCCAAAAATAGGTTAGTAATAGATGTTACTATTTAAACAGCTGTTTTACAATTATGTTTTAAATCTGTTGTGAGAATAACAGATACAGTCACAAGAAGCATATTTTTACGATTATTTTTCATCAATTTTATACTCCTTCATTTACATTGCATGCTTACTTTGGACTAAAACAAAGAGAAATGACAATTTTCTGATATGGCTGTAGAGTCCCTTCATCTGGAATGCAGGCAATTAAAGTAGAAGCATCTGTTTCGGGTTGTCCATCAGTGTGATGCAAGTTGTTTAAAACAGCATCTGTACTCTTTTGAATATCTGTACCCTGAAAGTAATTAAGCAATAAATAAACAAACAAACAAACAAACAAATAAATAAATAAATAAATAAATAAACAAACAAATAAATAAATAAATAGGTACAGTACTTACGTACGTACATACATACGTACACATGTACACACGTACGTACGTACGTACGTACGTACGTACGTACGTACGTACGTACATACATACATACATACATACATACATACATACATACATACATACATACATACATACATACATACATACATACATACATACAATATCCAGAAGATGCTAAGAGTTACTGCTGTAAGACAATGTGGTTTAGAGGTCAGGGTATCAGACTAGGACTTGGGAGACCCAGGTTCAAATCCCAACTGGGCCATGAAATCTCACTGGGACCGGAGAATAATCGGGCATCTTACATAGCTTAAAAACCCTATCAGCATTGCCATAAATTGGCAGCAACATTGTATCACACAATAACAATAAGAGTTGCTGAGTTTCTCTGTTGTTCATGTTGATCTTTCACACACTAAAGCAGAAATACAAAAAAAAGAACAGCAACTAAGGCTGGAGTTACTGTGCATATGGCAATAATCAACACAGAAAAAGATAGATTCTGGTACTGGAAGTGTCATTAAATAAAAGCTTTTTTAAAAAATGAAGGAAACTTGTCCTCACAGTAAGATTGAAGTCATTCTTCTTTTTATTATTTTTTCATTTGATTGACACATGTAGATTTTCAGAAATAACATTCCACATCCTTATTATACACTTACAAATCTCCACTGTTATGTTGAGGCCCATACATTTTACAAGGGTTGCAATATGTGTCCTGGATATAGAGGTATCTTGCAACATCCCAGTGGAGCCCTTGCTAGTAGATGCCAAATCACAGAGCTTCGGGGTAAGTTTTTTTCCATCACAGCATTTTGCCCACATACGGAACTCCTGTGCACTCCCTAGGACTGGGCAACAGCCATCCACTTATTTCAGGAGTGAATAGGAAATGTATTTTCAGACACTACTAGGATATGAGATCAAGCAACAAATTTTGAAACAACACCTTAATCTATGTTGTAGTATGTAGGTACTCCCAATCTACATTGAAGCTTCTGGTTCTTGCTCACACTAGAATATGACAGAATGTTGGAAGAAACTTAGCAACTTCCAGCTCATTCATATATATGTTGCCCAGTCATAGGGACAGATTGCTGCCTTGTCCAGTATCTTTGCCAAGAAAACCCCATGAACAGAAACAAAAGGCTAAAAGATATGACACTAGAAGATGGGCCTCTCAGGTCGGAAGGCATCCAACATGCTACTGAGGAAGAGCGGAGGACAAATACAAGTACAAGTAGCTCCACAGCTAATGAAGTGGCTGGGCCAAAGCCGAAAGGATGCTCAGCGGTGGACGTGCCTGGAAGTGAAAGGAAAGTCCGATGCTGCAAAGAAAAATACTGCATAGGAACCTGGAATGTAAGATCTATGAAACTTGGGAAGCTGGAGGTGGTCAAACAGGAGATGGCAAGAATAAACATTGACATCCTGGGCGTCAGTGAACTAAAATAGACAGAAATGGGCAAATTCAATTCAGATGATTATCATATCTACTATTGTGCGCAAGAATCCCGTAGAAGGAATGGAGTAGCCCTCATAGTCAACAAAAGAGTGGGAAAAGCTGTAATGGGATATAATCTCAAAAATGATAGAATTATGTTAAT